ATCATATTTGATTTAATATAGTGCTTCATATATCAATACCCACGCATATTGTATACATTACAGTTTCATATCTATAGAGAAAGATAGTCTATCAGTTACCTGTATCCTTTGTTACCCTGTACAATCCGATCAACGTACAGCTTATGCATTTTGCTGTACCCATCACCTTTTCCAAGCAGAAATACTGCTTAGTGTCGTCACTGGTATTCCTTCATCAAGTCTATATTGCACAAGTCTCCTTCCTCTTCTTCTTTATTTTCCGTCAAGATGCTGAATCTATCACGTGCCATGGCCATGCAAATAGCATGTCCATCTAGCTCCATAGCGCGTACAATGAGCGTATCCAAGCTCAGTCTTGAGAATCTGGCGCAGCGTCAGAGCCTCAAAGGTCCACGCGTACTAGTGTGTGCTGATCTGAACGTGCCGTCTGGAAGAACGTAACGCCCGCTATTATCACGGACGATACGCGCATCCGTGCCGTCTTACCGACACTCAAACTGCTTCAATCGGGTGCCTGCACGGTGTTGTGCTCGCATCTGGGCCGTCCTGACGGTGAGACAAAGAATGAGCTCCGTCTTACGCCCGTAGCCACACGTCTTGGTGAGCTACTTGGTAGCCCCATTATAAACCTAGACGACTGCGTCGGTCCACAGGTGGACGTAGACATTGAAGCGCTGGCGACGGCAGATCGTCCGCCGAGGAACGTCTGTTTTTACAGACAAGAGACAAAGAATGATCCTGAGTTTGGCGAACCAGCTCGCTCAGCGGAACTGATATCTATGTCAATGACGCGTTCGGCACGCTCACCGTCGCTCACGCTTCGATGGAAGGTGGACCAATTACATCAAAACCAACGTGGCAGGGTTTTTGATTTAGAAGGAGCTCGCGCACCCGTCCGGTGCAGTGGACGCCTTGGACGTCCGTTGGGTGCCATCGTTGGCGGCGCCAAGGTGTCTACCAAGATTCCCGTGCTCAAGCCTTGCCGCAAAAGTGTGACAACATTATGATTGGCGGTGGCATGATTTTCACGTCTCCGCAAAGCCTAAGGTCAAGACGTGGCAAATCGGTCATTGAGGGAAGAGTAGGTCGAGCTCGCTAAGGAGATTCTAGATGAGGCCAAGAAACGCGGGGTGCATATTGTGCTCCCCACCGACGTCGTGATTGCTGACAAGTTTGATGCAGATGCTCAGTGGAAGGTTGTACCCGCTAACGCTATCCCCGACGACTGGTTGGGTCTGACATTGGCCCGGACTCACGGACCATGTTTGCCAAGGAGCTGAAGGAGCGCAAGACTGTTGTGTGGAATGGCCCCATGGGTGTCTTTGAATTTCCCAACTTTGCTAAAGGTACGATCAGTGTGGCTGAGGCTCTTGCGGCGAGTACGGATAACGGCGTCACCACCATCGTCGGAGGCGGTGACTCTGTGGCCGCCGTCGAGCAAGCCGGTCTTGGTTCTAGGATGAGCCATATCTCCACGGGTGGCGGCGCTAGCCTGGAGTTGCTCGAGGGCAAGGTGCTTCCGGGTGTAGCTGCTCTGAACAACGTGTAAGTTATCCAAGCTTGTTAGAATGCTGCATACAGCTTGTTGAAAGGTATCAATTGGTCAAAGCAAGAATAGATGAAAGCAATTAGCAAAGGGGTATCCATCACGTTGTACAAAACAATGATAGTACTATGCAGGCATTTTTTATGAATCTCCCTTTCCAGCACCAATCACTTTGGAAAGTCTCATTTGTCTCCACCAGCAGCTCCATGTTGCGTCGTATTCTCTGGACGCGCAGGTCTCGCTTGCTCACGCACCAGCCGCCAATCACGCGCAGTTTCCACCAATCTTCATCTGCCATGATGGCGCGTATCCTCTGCAGTGATCCCATTGATCCCATATGCCCGGAACTGTTACGTGCTGCCGGTCACGACGTTACATGCGACTCGACGGGTCTCTCCCACACTGAATTGATTACGCAGGTGCCTGATTACGACGTGCTCATCGTTCGCTCCGGCTCTAAAGTGGATCGACAAGTACCCCCCCCCCCCCCCCCCCCCCCCCCCACACGATGGATGCTGGACAAAAGTTGCAGCTCATTGGTCGCGCTGGCACAGGCGTGGATAACATTGACATGGTAAACGCTACGAAACAGGGCGTGCTGGTCATGAATACGCCCTTTGGCAACACCATTTCGGCCGCTGAGCTCACATTGGGGCTCATTACGCCGTCTCTCGACTTGACAAGGCCACTGACATGGAGGAGTTAGTCGTCCGTCACTCGGAAATCCACGGTAAAACGCTCGGTATCGTCGGTCTTGGCCGCATTGGTCGAGAAGTGGCTGCACGATGCAATGCTTTTGGTTTGAACATTATTGGCTACGATCCTATTCTGTCCAATGCTAGTGCCAAGATGCACGGCATTGAGCCTGTTTCGTTGGATGAACTCTTCTCCCGCAGTGACTACATCACTCTCCATGTCCCACTTAATGCCAATACCAAGCACTTAGTGAATGCGCAACGTCTCGCGCTCTGCAAAGACGGTGTCAAGCTAGTGAATGGAGCTCGGGCGGGTCTGATCGACCACCCAGCGCTGCTGGAAGCTATTGAGAGTGGCAAAGTTGCGGGTATGGCCTTTGATATCAACACGCCGTCGCCTCCGTCCGAGACTTGGAAGAAACTCGTGAATCACGAGAATGTGATTGTTACGCCGCACATTGGTGCGTTGACTACTGACGCACAGGAAAAGGTGGCACGTGACTTGGCTTACAAGGTGAATGACGCTCTCGCAGGCAAGTCTTACAAGGGCGTGGTCAACGCGCCAAACATTGATTTCGACAGGCGCGAGGAGCTCATGCCTTTGCTGTCACTTGCGGAAAAGCTTGGTAGTATGCAGGCGCAGTTGCTAGACGACAGTCGTCTTAAGCGCGTACTTGTCATCGCGGAGGGGCCTAAGGTTACGTCGTCGGAACTGTCGGGGCAGCTAGTAAAAGGCGTGATGAAGGGATTGCTATCGCACATGCTGGAGGAGGAGGTGACGTTTACGAACGCAAAACAGCTTGCTGACGTCATGGGCATTCAGACTGTGGAGCACAAGCACGATGAAGCCTCTGGCAGCAGCTTCTCGGACCAGCTTACTGTCATTTTTGAGAAGGAGAACGGCACATCGAAGAAGATCACGGGTACGGTATTCGGCAAGAACCAGTTGCGCTTTGTGTCTTTTGACGATCTGCCTATGGATGCTATTCCGAGTGGATCAATGCTGTTGTTCAACAACACTGACCAGCCTGGTGTGCTGCACAAGGTGACGTCGGTGCTAGCGAAACACAAGATTAATATCGGTTGTTTCGGTCTGGCGCGTGAAGAACATGGCACCGCTGCTGTCGGCGTGCTCAATGTGGACGAGGCTATTCCAGATGCCGTTATGGAGGAGCTCGAAGCACTGGGCATGCTCACTAATCTTCGCCGCGTGAACCTGCTCGAGCTGGACACGGCTGTCTCGGGTGGTATATTGGAGAAGTTCCTTAAGCCGAGTGCGAGCTCTGCTGAGGAAGAAACCAACGCGGTTGACGCTGGAGTAGAGATCGTGCGTCACCCGAAGCCACGCGTAAAGCCGGCATCACCGAATTTTGGCTCAGGACCTTGCAAGAAGCGGCCGGGATATTCGCTGGCTTCCATACCTGACATTGTTCTAGGCCGTAGTCACCGTTCTAAGCTGGGCAAGGGCTTGCTTGAGGAAGCCATTGTGCGTTCGAAGAAGATTCTGAAGCTCCCGGAGGACTACCTTCTTGGCATCGTGCCGGCTTCAGACACAGGCGCATTCGAGATGGCAATGTGGTCCATGTTGGGCGAGCGTCCCGTGGATGTGTGCTACTGGGAGTCATTTGGCAAACAGTGGTTTAAGGATGTTACGACTGAGCTAAAGCTTGACAACGTGAGAGAGTTTGGTGCGCCGTTTGGCCAGATCCCAGACTTCTCTCAAGTGAACTGTGATCACGACGTATTGTTCACGTGGAATGGCACGACTAGTGGCGTCCGTGTTCCCAACGCCGACTGGATCCCAGACGACCGCAAGGGTCTGATCTTTAACGATGCTACGTCAGCTGCGTTTGCCATGGACATTCCGTGGAACAAAATCGATGTGTGCACGTTTAGCTGGCAAAAGGTTCTTGGTGGCGAAGGCGGCCACGGTGTCGTAATATTGAGTCCGCGCGCTGTGGAGCGTTTGGAGTCGTTCGTGCCGGAAAACCGCCCACTTCCTAAGATCTTCCGCATGACCAACGCCAGTACAAGCAAGCTCCTAAAGGGGATTTTTGAGGGTAGCACCATCAACACGCCGTCGATGTTGTGTGTAGAGGACTATCTTGATGCTCTGCGTTGGGCAGAGAGCGTGGGTGGTCAAGACGGACTGATTGCAATCTCGCAGCGTAATTTAAAGGTGCTTGAAGTGTTTGCAGCCGATAACTCGAGATGGTTCAAGTTCCTCGCAGCCAAGAAAGAGATTCGCTCCAGTACGTCCGTATGCCTGCTAATTGACGGTCTATCAAAGAACGAAGTGAAGCAAATGCAAGTACTGCTCGAGCGTGAACAAGTTGCGTATGACGTGGGTTCGTATCGAGATGCACCACCTGGACTGCGTATCTGGTGTGGTGCTACGGTAGAGACCAAAGACTTGGAAGCTTTGTTACCGTGGATCAAATGGGCGTATCTCGAAGTAAAAAGTGCCCGAGATGCCAAGACCAAGTAGATAAAGGAGCTGTGAATTGGCATTCTACATGCTGAGAAGGGTAGGTAGTACGTTTGTCCATCGTCCTTTTGGTAGGATCAATACTACATGGACTATACTTGGTCATAGATAGTAGAGTTTCAAAAATGTACGACAATTGTCAGTGAGTACATATTTTGTATCTGTTCGGACAATATCTTCAAATGATACATATTGACATAACCTCTTTGTTTTAATATGTCCGACCACTGGACACGATTTCAAGTCACACGTAGTTTCATAACCACCCAATTCAACCGTAACCACCCAATATTCCACAGACATCTGACCATTCTCTCTTCCTCTATCCATGCATCAATCCTCTGGCGGTCGTGGCAATAATAATCATAATAATAATTGGCAGCGTTTCCAACAGCAACAACATCAATATTATCATCATAACTCGACGTTCGAGTCTCACCCCAATGAATCCCAAAGTTTCTATCCACGTTCTCAGTCAAAAGTCTATCAACAATCGAGAGCTGCTGTTAATGCACCACCTAGACAAAAAGATGTTGTAGCTTTTATTGAAAAGTTACGAGCAAATCAGTCGAGTCTTGCAGCACCACCGAATGCACTGACAATAAACGTCGTGGTCCAAGCTATTTGCAATCATTTCCGTACGTTGAATATACAAATATATATTACGGTACATTTTAGATTGTATGCTAATGATTGCTCCATGTATAATACTCTAGATGTCAATACATTTGAAGACTTGATGGGCATCAGTCCATTACAATTACCCATACTAAAACAGTTACATACTGTAAATCAACGGGTGTGGACATTTGTTACTTGTTTCATCCAAAGTCGTCGGATTCATACGCTCTTGGAATGTCAAGAATTTTTTTTACAACAAGAAGGACTCCAATCGTTTCACGAACTGAAGCTTGGAAATTCCTTTTTATATACTGAAGCAGTCCAACATTTTTATCATTCACCTGTTGCTGTAATGAACATTACAACCAAAGACGTATTGAATTGTTTACGTCAATTTGAAGACATGGTGGTTCATGATGCATTTCGAGCGTCTTCGCACATTGATTTGCATGAGTTTGCTCACTTTTTAGCTCAACAGTATAGACAACCAAGTTTACAAACAATGGGTGTCATCATTGATCCATCTGGATTTGGAGTTTATGTCGGTATGCTGCGTCGCATTGGGAATCATGAAATGAAAGAGATCAAGACATTGGAGAAACAATTTCAATCTGAAGTGGCTGAAAAAATGTTTCGACTCACCAAGGAGAAATTCAGTGATGATAATCGAAAACAAGCACTGGACGACTTGCTGCAGCAAACCAATGTACGCTTATGTCAACAGGAGAATGATGAAGAGTCGCATAAAAGACGTAGAGGCAAGAAAAGCAGCATGCAATCACTCTCGTTAGACATGCTCAAGCGTGTCACTGATGTTGACGTGTATCTAGACAATATGTTGCGTCGTAAAGCTGCTGCGGATGCAACTAGCCAACAGAAGTTTGTCAAACCCATTTCATCGCAGGAGATTGCAGAGACCGATTTGAAACTTCGCAATCAGTTGACACGATTTCTAGTGTCATCACAAAAAAGCAGGCATCACTCGAGGCTCAAGGTGATAACTTGGGTCATCTGTAGTATCATGGCGAAGACGTATGCCTTGCTACTAAGCGATGACAAACTCCCTGATGACGACGGCATAGAAGAGGACAAGCCGAAGGCTGCCAATAAACTAGCTGAAAGTGACAAGGAAGAGTGTGATTGTTGCTGTGTGGGTAAGGACTCTTGCACCTGTCCTTGTACTTGCAAATGCCATGTGGAGTCGAGTGATGAAGAAGACGAGAATAGCGATTGTCAAGACAAGGCAGCAAAGGTAGATGTGGAACCGAAAACCTCTGGCAACGTTGGCAGTTGTCCTGTTATGCCGACAGACCCGTTTGCCAGCAGGCTAGGAAAAATCATCCCAGAAGTGACTGTGACGCTTGAAGAAGTGACAACCGAGGTGGAGAGATTTTTGAGCTCTCAACAATCACGTGACAATCAGCCGCATACAGCGAAAGACGTGCTTTTGGTGTTGTCGTCCCTCGAAAACCACTTGATTAGCAAGTTCTCGGTCACGTGCAGCAGTGTTTCTTGGGCGGGACGACGATCCGTACTAGAACTATTGTCTCATATCCTAAGCGACACGGAGGACGCACATAGCAAAGACGAAACCAGTGCAAGCACGTGGCTGCGTAGCCTTATGCGTTCTTCAGAAAGGAGTGATAACGACGCGATCTCACTGAAAGTTATCAGCGAAAAGCGCCTGCTAGAAGAAGTGATGCCATTTGTTCGAGAATGCCGCGCTGTCATCTCTTCATCTTCTTCGTTGTCTTCACTTTCCAGTGAAAAGCAA